TATTTATAAAAAAAATATTTGAAATTATCAGTAAAAATATCATAAAGAGAAAATAAATACAATATAAAAATATTTGTAGATTGTGATTGTAAGTTGTCATGTTATTAAAATTTCAGAAAAAAAGTTATCAAGAACATACCTTTTATATAAATTCTTTTTTTCTTATATTTTAAAATTATTCTATCATATCATGTTTGCAGATTTTGAAAGATATATATTCATCAACGAAAGAGAGACAAAAAATCGGATCATCGTTATTGGCGTCAGAAATGCACAAACAATAAAATATCGTAATTCAATGTTGCCATTAACTCGATCACATTTTATGTATGCAATATGTATAATTTAAAATGAAACGAATTCATGAAACGAATAAGATAATTATAGACTTTTTTAAAATTTATTTCGCTTTGTTCTCTTTGACTTTATTTCAAACTCTCTTCTTTTTTTCTTCTCTTTTCTTCTTAAAATTCTTTTCAGCTTTCTGAGCTTAATATCAGATTTTAATATTTTTTTTTATTCATTAGTTTAGCTACGAATAACATTTTCATGAATATTTGCTTCGAGACCAACATGCGACTTGCCTTGTACGTATTTCTGTTCTCTACATGAATTCAGTTGAGAGATTGGCGTATCTGGGTTCAACCTAAATAGGTAATTCAACTTCCATATATACTCGAATGCCGCGTAACTATGAATCGAACTGGAGCATTGGACAAAGAAAAAAAGGAGAAATCGTGATCGATATTTGAACGTATTCGAATCCGCGAGAGAATTAGTCGATTAATTTCTTTTGATAACATAGTCGATAAATAAAAAACTCTTCTAATATATTTTGAAATATTTCTATTTTATCTATTGAATATTTTTTAATCAAATAAGGCAAGACGATTAATTTTTTTTGATAACATAGTCGATAAATATCTTTTCATAAATATATATATAAATATAATTTATAATTGCAATATATATATATATGTATAAAGATACATTTTTAAGATAACATAAACATTCCTTTTATGCCAGAGCATAACACATTTTTCTAATTGATTAAGAATATAGGATGAATAATTTTTTTATATTTAATATATATATATAATTTTTTTATATTTAATTTTCACAATTCACAATGATAAAAAAATATTTTTTATAATTTTTTATAATCACTCTGAAATAAATATTAATATTTCAAAAATATTGATCTTAATAATTGTTATTTTTTTATATTTTATATTTAAAATAAATATAACCTTTAAAAGTTATATATTAAGAATTGCACATTTATACAATTCTGATATAAAAAGGATGATATAATATTTTATTTTTAGAAGTGAATTACAAAGGATCATCGAAGATACTAAAATATTAAATGGAATATTAAAAATCTATGTTCTAGTAAATATAAAATATTCAATATCAATATATGATTATAATAAATCCTTAATATTCTTTTAATATTCACTATGATAGATTATAACATAATTTATTGTATTCGCTATATAAATTAAATAAATGTTAAAAATTTTCATCATAAAATATTTATATATAAATAATAATAAAAAAATAAAAAAACATTAAACAAATAAAAATAATTATAACGGATTTTTCTTAAAAAAAAAGAACTATTATGTTTCTTGAAGGTTTCGATCGATAGATTAGAAAATAAAGTGTTAAATAAATGAAAACATTTTGTAATATTTTTTTCTTCCGTTATATATCGGATATATATATATAATTAACATTATAAATCGAATCAATTATTTGCTCAATTAAATATTTCAAATTAAATATTTTTAATTTATTTTTTAATTGTTTTTAAATTGATTCATTTTATTATTAATGAATTTTATATTTAATTGTTAATTATAAAAAGAATTTGAAATTGTAATTCTAATTCTTAACGGTTAAAGTTAATATTTTTTATTTTTGCAATTGTTAATATTATTTGAAAATCTATTTTAATATTGTTTTTATATGTTTTCTAATTAACGAAATTAATTAATGAAAATTGATTAACGAAATTATTAATCATTATGATTACGAGATTTGAAATCATTGTCTTGAATATTTATAATTTATAGTATTTTTTTATATTTATAATATAGACCGAAAATTTCATAACATGTTATTTATTGTACGTGAAATAATTTTGAATATAATACTTTAGAATTTAACAATTTCTCTATTATATTTTTTTTTGTTTTTAATTATTTGTATGATTACTATTACTTTATTCATTACTAAAATTAAAAAAATTATAAATAAAAAAACAATAAAACAATGAAACAACAAAACTTATAAATTAAACAATTTTAAGTATATTTAAATTTGATTTAAATTAATTTGTACGTCTTAAATAGTCGAAAAATTAATAAATATAAATATATATTTATTACAACATAAATATATGTTTTCATAATGAAAACATAAATTATTAATTATTAAAATAAATATGTTTTAATTTTCTTTTTAAAATAAGATTTATTAAAAAGATTAAATGTTGATTAACTTTTTATAATTGATTATGAATACATTTGAATATAGATTTATTATTTTTATTATATTTTTGTCATATGTAATACATTTAAATATATATAATGTTCTAACAGTTCTAACTGAATTTAAAAAAAATCAATAATGTTAGAAATTCAGTACTATTATTTTTTTCTAATTAAATATTTTAAGATTCGAACTTAATATTCTAAGATTCGAATTTAATTTCTTGTCATCAACAAGTTTTAATTGAAATAGAATTTGATTGAAATTTAATTACGAAGTTTAAAATTTAAAATTAAAATCAAATAAAATTATAGATATTTAATAAATAATATTAATTTTATAATATTATATTTTAATATATAATATTTTAATTTATAAATGATATTATATATTTTTAGTATACAATAGAATATACATAAAGTGTTATTTTTGGAAATCGATTCCAGAAGGAAAACGAACGGCCATGTTACAAAGATAGAACTATCTTATTTTATTTTCGTTTTATTTAATACAAATTTCAATTGCTTATAATTCATAATAAATCTCAGTTTTCTAATATTTTTACTCATCATATATTAACTTTCATATTTATTTTGTTCTCTAGAATCGATCTTTCAAAAATATGCCACGAATATACTAACATTTTGTATATTCTGGAATAATATATAATACATTATAATGAATATATGTGTATATATATATATATATATATATATATGTATATAGACATAACATTATAATATTATATATTTATATGTTATATAATATAATATATTTGAATAACAAACGACAAATAATTTTGACAAATATCTACTTTCATCAAAACGAATATGAAAAAATGAATTGTAAAAATAGTTATTTTATTTTTATACATAGATGATTATAAAATTTCGCTAGATCTTTCATTTTCTTTTTCTTTTATTTCATCTCTTTTGGTTCATATGTCTATACAATACACAATAAAAAAAATTGTTATTTATCTCTCTTATATCATCGGTTAGTAGAAAATAATACTTTCTAATAATCTTAATGATATATGGAGACAAACAATTCGATTATTTTCATTGCGAAACAAACGCGGATTGCTTCAGGTCAAGATGCGTTCGCCCTCTCACTGCGACGCAAATGACATTCTGACGCTTGAGTTTGATAATATTGCATAGGAATGAATTTCATTATTATTCTTTCTTATTATCGTTTCGGTTGAATTAATTTGTCTTCTTGCAATTTTTGATCATAATTCTTAATACAATTTTATTCATCACTTCTTAATCCAACTAAATCGCATGGCAAAATTCTGTTAACCTAAGCAAAAACGAATCAAATAACTGCGTTCTCCTTTCTTATTGTATTGACTGGTGTGCGTAAGTTCATATCCTATATCATGTGTTTGTTCTCAGGCCCATATATAGGGGCCCCTTTATTCGATCGCTCGCTTACAGCATCCATAGTCGGCAGCGTGAGTGCATCGACATCGCATCGTTGTGATTGTGATTCGGAATAATTATATAGATTGTTATATTTGGGATAGTTGTAATTTTTATAGAGAAGCGTTTCAATTCTGTTCGCGTTATATTTTACAACAATCTGATCGTATCTTTATCACATTAACTCAAAGATTAAAAAAAGTTTGGTTGAATTTTTTTCTTTCATCTTACGTTTTATCCATTTATGATTTCAATAAAATAGAAATAGAAAAAGAAAAGAGAAGTGAATCGAAAACAATCTTGAAAAGAGAAATTATTGACAAGAGATTTGATTTATTGGAAAATTTTATTTATGGATGATTGTTTGGTCAAATCTGAAAAGTGCTCTCTTAAAATAAATCGGTGATTAAATCAAGAGAGAAAAGAGGAAAGAAGAAAGAATAAGAATATTCTGTTCGAAATCTGTTGGAAAGAAAAATTTGCGAAACAAATAAATTTTTTCATCGAACAAGGATTTCATTCATTTCAAGGATATGAAGTTCGAAAAATGCTCTCAATGGTTCCAATATTTCGATATTAACTGATATTTTTGCTTCGCTAGTTCGATCTGTTATAATTTCACCGTCGTGATAATCGTATATGTTTTAGAGTTTTATTGATGATTTTACATAACATGATATTTTAAATCAGATGATTCTGATATAAAGAGAGTATAAGGGAGGAAAAAAAAAAGAGAAGAAAAAGTTGGTAATAAATAAAAACAATTAGCAGAAAAAGAGAAAAGAATCCCGTTGAAGAGTATTCTATGTTGAAAATTTTTATTTTGAATCAGCAATTAAAGTAACAATTCCGAAGATATACAACCGTGTCATCTTTTTTCAGTGAATCTGAATATTTATTTCGTGATTGAAAAAGAGACTGAAACATTTTATCGCGAGAGCATGCGGTTCATTGGAACATCGATACCTTTTTTCAATGCATTGCGATGCATGTGTATAATGCTCTTAATAATCCTGCAATTGGCATGCATCATGCACTTAGCATCCATCGGTGATGATGATGATACACTTCCAGGTCCCCAAAAATGTTCCGATACGGAGTTCAAGTGCATGAACGGCAAATGCATACCCGGAACGTGGCATTGCGATGGCGACAATGATTGTCGAGATGGTTCGGATGAAGATCCAACAGTTTGCAGTAAGTATATTTTATTCTTTTAATTTAATATCTTATTTCGTTCTTTTAATTTTTTTATCTCATTTCGAAAAACGATTCTATTTTCTTTGTATGTTGTAGCTAGTTTTTAATAATGATTAGTCATTAAGTAATCGACAGTTATCTAAATTTTCTTTAACTCGAAATGATTTTCAATTACAATATTCGAAATTATAATAATGATTATAAGAATCTTGGATATATATATATTGGATATATATTGGATATATTGGATATATAGATCATCACAATGATGGATGTAATTTATAATTAAATGAAAAAATTTATAAATATTTTTCACTTGTTATAATTTTTTTTTTTATTATTTTAAAGTCCTATTACGATTTTTTGCGTAAAATTATAGTATATTCTTTTAAAATTATATTAAAATTTAAAAGAATTTTTTTTTAAAAAGTTACATATTTTCTATATATATATACATATATATAGTAATATAATATATAATATATATATAGTCTCAATAAAATTGAGTGAATATAACTATAATATTTATGTATTTATTATTTTTAAATAACATATTACATTTAATTAAATAACATATACATAAAATAATTGAAGATTAAAATAAACATTTTTTTTAAACGTACTTTTAAGGTAGAAATTTTATATAAAATACGTGCATTTTTTTTTATCTTCTCGTGTTACTTGATGAATTATTGGAATGATCTTACATCTTACGATCTATTACAGAAATTATTATCTAATACGGAAATATTACATGAATCAGAACGAATCTCATTATATAAATGTTTTAAAATTAAAAATAAAAAATTAATTAATTAATAGAGTAAATAGAATATAAATATAAAATAATATAATATATAAATAAAATAAAAAAATTTGAAGAATATATATATAATAATAATATTCTATAGATATAAGAAATATTTCGTTTTATTATTTTTCGAAAAAACCTGTATCATAATTTAATGTGAAGCAAAATGGAACACAATTGCCTTATCGTGGTTTGTAAATTACGAAATTAATATATATATATTAATATATTGCAAAGAATATATTTACTTAATAACGTGATTAATCAACGTATATAATATTTATTTAGTGTAATTGACGAAATTAGTAAAAATTTAAAAAATAAAAATATTTGTGTTACACTTGAATTTTTGAAATAATATTATAACTATAATAAAATACAAATATCAAAATTATAATATATAGTAATAATAATAAATAAATATATAATATTTTGAAGTGAATTCAAAAATATCTATAATAAATTATTTATAATATTTAATTAATATTTAATAATATTTAATAAATTATTTATAAATATATAAATTTAGCATTTTCATTTTAGTATTTGATTTTCTCCAAATATAATTGCATTCATTAGAATCATAAATATTCATTATGATAAATTTACTTTCATCGGAAAATATAATAATATATTTCAGAAAATATTGTGTTTATTAATATATTTTTTTCGCAAAATTTAATTTCTTTTTTTTATTTATCTTGTTAATATATAGTTTCTTTTTTGCTACTCTAGTAAAAATTATTTTTCAAAAAGATTCTGAATAAACATCTTTCTGCCTATACTTGTGAATGTATTTGCAAATTTTACCAAAATTTTACCAAAACTAAAATCATTTTTATTTTATCTTTATATATAATAAATTAATAATTATCCTTAATATCTTAACTTATTTGGACGATCTTTACAGACTTCATTTGTAAGATTTTCTATATTATTCCACTTTTTAATAATATATTGAATCGTCAATATTTTTATTAATAAGATTTCTAAACTATCTTTCTAAGATTTTCCTTTTTTATAAAGTTTTATATATTTTTATAAATATATTAATATATTATATATTTTTTATAAGTTATATATATTTTAATTTCCGTTCCGTTTTGTGTTTTAGATTTTTTAGAATGTATATATTGTACATTCTAATAATAATATATAACTAATAAAATAGCTAATAAAATATTAGCATACGAAATTTGTTGAAAAAAAATTTTTGAAATTTGTTATAAACGTTTTAATATACTTTATAATACGGATCATCTCTAAACTATTCAAATGTTTTTGTAACTTTTTTTTGCAATGAATCTCTGCAATGAATTTTCTCTAATTTCAACTTAAATATTTTTAAATTTTCTTGAAAGTATACATAATCTTGATACTTGATTTTATTATAATTATAATATTATTTTACGAATATGTTTTTTTTATTATCTTATTGTTAATCTAATGATCAGAAAATCTTCGGGTTTGATTTTTTATATATATAATGCTTATCAATTATTTAATTAATTATTTTATGTATTATTTTATGTATTATTTTATATAATTCTAGCTTTATCTTATTTAATTCTAGAAGAATCACATTAAACATGTGGAAATAAATTCATTTATATTGTATAAGTATTGCGTATAATAGCTATTCAATTTTAAATGACTATTAAATATTTTTCGCTTGAAGTTTGGATTTTTATTTTTTTGATTTTCTATAGACACCGGGATATTTTATATTCGATATAAAATTAAATATCGATTAAATATTCGAAAGATAAGACACATGGATTGATTGATTTTATGTATTACGAATTGTTTGGGGCGGTTATTCTATTGATAAAAAATGAAAGATAATTAATCCGAAATCATTAATCACTCTCAGATAGCAATCAAGTAATCGCGTGAGAAATCTGTATGCCTCGAGCAAAAAGTATAATAAAAAATTAAGTAATTGTAGCTAATTTATAGAAGGCGTTCCAAATCTGACAAACTTGCAATAGAATTACTTCATAACTCACTGATACTATAGGATGTTCTCAATAATAATATTGAATCCTATTCTAAAATAATATATAATATAAATCTAAATTTATATCAATTTTATTACACAATTTATATATATATCAATAATAATAAATGAAAATCATTTCGAGTTGTACAATTATTGTAAGTGTCAAAGTGAAAGTAATAGATGTAAGAGAGGATAGTTGTATTTTCAAAAAATATTTAATTTTTATATTTTCGTTTTTAATTCGATCCATCAATTAATGCGAACACGCGTGCTCGACCAAGTATTTAATGGAATAATATACATAGATTTTGTTTCTCCGTGCATTGCGTACGAAACCGATAAAATATTATATATACTTATGTAATATGTAATAGAGCATATAATTAAAATTATGCTATGTGATTTTGTGATAGTTATTTTAGATGAAAATTATGATTTAAAATCGAGTTGTAACGATTACTATATAACGATTATTCCATTCTTACCATTTGTATTTTTGATTATAGATTTAAATCATATTTAATTTTTTACATGAAAATCAAACTTTTTTTTCCTCCTTTATAGTATATCCTAAATATTTATAATATATATATCAATTTTTGACATATTGATTAGTAACATTTTTTTAAAAATTCTTTAATAAAACTTTCCTCATTCATTTTCATTATTGTATTTATTTTGTCTACTAATCCTTATCACTATTATCATTTATTATATTATTTATATTATTTTTATTAATAATTGAATTTATTTTAGTATTATAAAAAAATCGAATTCACTATATGGTTTTTTCAAAATCATTCAACATTTATCTAATTATAAAATATTGTTTTGCTAAAATCATTATTTAACAAGAAATCGAAATTTCATTTATTCTATGCTTAATTCTACACACACACACGCACACACACACACACACACACACACATGTTACATATTCACTGATACGAATAAAAAAATGATAAATTGTCGAATCTTTTTTACTATTTTTACTATATTTAACAGTAAGATTATTTGTAGAAATTAAAGAAATTATAAATTGTTGATAAACAAAGAGTTGTTTTGTTTGAATATATGCGTGTTTTGTTCAAATATTGTTTTGTATTGTTCAATTGTATTGTTTGTATTGTTCAATTGTATTGTTCAATTCAAATTATGTTATAATCACAGCTTAATATTAATTGATGAATTTTTGTTCTGCGAATCGTGATAAATCATATCGTATTAATATAATTAATATTCTATTATATGTAATAGTACATTAATTTTTAACATAATATTTTATGTTGTATGTATATGATTATATGAATTTATATAATTTATATTATATGAATATATTTTATTTTTCAGAAATAGATATCACATTATTAATAATAACAATCGCTTGTTCTGATTTCGTCGCGGAAATATGAAATTAATATTCATATTCTCGCATTTCCAACCACAAATTGTATATATATATATATATATATATATATATGGTAATTAATATTTAGTTATAATAGCCTTATATGTAACGAATATCATTACAAACTGCTGATTTTGGTAATTATTTGTTTAATCGTCATTCAATTACAATTATTTATAACTATCTGACTTTTTTGAACTTTGTTTTGTAAATTATTCCATTATGTGTTAAGTTATTCCATTATGTGTATATATATATATAAAGTAAGATAATTTGAATTTCGGTTACTTCATAAATAATGACAAATAAATAAATATTAAAAATTTTAATTAAAAATTCAGATAAAATTAAATGGTTTTATAGAATTTAATGTAAATAGTTTTTTTTGTAAAACTATTTTTTGGAAATAATATTTTTTGGCATATAAAAATTAAATATGTTTTTTTAAGTGAAATTATATATTTGTTATTATAATAATTGATTCTGCTGATTATTTTCCATAATAATTTAGAAATAATTAATTTATTTATTGTCTGAAAAAGATATTAATATATAAAATAATTTAATGTATAAAATAATTTTACATTAATATAATATTAATGTATAAAATATTTTAACTTGAGTTTTGCAAGTTTTTCATATAGAAGATAAGGAAAACAAACAGGAATTCTTATTTTTTGTCTCTTTTATGAAAAGTTTTGAAAAATTTAAATTAATTAATTAAAATATTTTTTTAATTTGTCTAAACTTATTTTTTAGATAGGTTAATTCTTTTT